GCTGCCTCCCAGCTGGGTTAGTCCCTGGCTGCTGATCTCTCAGACCCTCTTGATCCCTACTCCCTCCACCCCGGTGCCCAAGGGACTGTGCTGTGCAGCCTTCGTTCCCCTCCACCATAGTGAGTGTCTACAAGGTGAAAACTCCTGAGGCACAGTACCCATTTCCACGAGGAGCCACTCCCAGCCCCTGGCTGCCCAGGCCTCTGGCTGCTGAGGTCCCTGCCCAGACATGCAAGACTTTTTTCTGTTTTTTCACTCTCCTCCCAAGGCTGCTAGCCATGGCTCCCACCTGTCCCCTGTGCTGAGCTGGGCCTCCCGATTTGGCCAGGGTGAGCACAACTGAGCCTGGATGTGGTGATGTGGGGATGCCGTGTGGCTGGGTCCCAGCTGACGGGGTGCAACGGGAACTGTGGTGAAGAGGGTGCCCAGAGCGGGTGCTCAAGGTAGCATGGGAGAAGGCTATCATCAGATACCGTAAATAATACAGGAATCAAAGTTCAGAGAGGCCACCTGGCCTCTTCACCATGTGCAGATCCCAGGGGCTCATGGGGAAGGATACAGCTGGGTACTGTTAAAGGCAAGACCCTTGATCTCCAGGAGCCGCTAGTCCAAAGGTAGAGAGCAGATGTTCTGCTGGGCATGACCATTCCAGAGAAGAGGCACAGAGCTGCAAACCGCTAGAACTGGAAGGACCCCTGGGCTGTACCAGGGTTGGGGACACAGCTTAAAGTTAAGTTCAAAGTCCAGCCAGAAGAGGTAAACACATAGCTGGGGCCCCATGTGATAAAGTCTCTGGCAGAAGTCTGGAGTGCAGTGAGGCCTGAGTTAGCGTTCAACAATGGGCCTTGCCTTCCATTCACAGTTGTCCTCACACATCGCAGGCTGTGGCTCTCGTTAACCTTCTGGAAGCGGGGGATTCCGAATACCTAGACTCTGAGTCTGAATGGCCTCAAGGGTTTTCAAGAAATGATTTAAGGACAAGCTCTGTGAGTATGATTGCATCATCCAGAAATGTACCAGAATACTGATTTAGTATTGTTTTTCCTTGTTCGGAATTTCAAAACTTGAATTTCTTGCTTTACTTCACTTCAGGGGAAATCCCAGACATTTAAAACATGAGCTCTTCAGTTAAAATACCACGTAACCGATTCTCTCTCAATCCTCATCTATGTCTCCAGCCCTGAGGTTTTCCTTTGCTGCAATCAGTCTGTGGAACGGTTTGGGGTCTGCCTTTTCATATAGCATTCCCGCACACACACATTAAACACACTTATTAAACACACTTACTGTATTTAATGGCCACGTGGGGTTCCGTCATGTGCCCTGTCCTAGTTTTCAGCTTGTGTTTCAGCCAGTGACTCTATGGCTAAGCCTAACCTTCTTCTGAGGCTACAGATAAGCCTCACCTTATCTGTAAAACACGATGATTTGGAAGCTCTAACGTCCTTTCCAAGCCTTAAAATTTGTGGGGGTCTATGATTTCCTAGCTGTAGATCCTAAATTGTGACCACACAATAACAATCCCTAGAAGGGAAAGAGACTCAACATCTATTGAAAATTCCCCATACAGCGGGAAGGCACTGAGTAGGAGATAGGTAGGAAAAGTGACACCGCGGCTTGCCAGCAAAAACACCATCAGAGGCCCCGCTAGGTGATCTCAGACCCCTTTGTTCCCAGTCCGGCCTCTGGGCTTTGTCCCATTAGGAAATGAGGGGAGGGGGACACTCTCCCTCCCTCCCTCCCTCCACAGTGAAGCTACAGCCCTCCAGGTCTTATGACTGCTCCTCTCCTCCATGACAAAGCACTTTTTGAGCCCAAGCCCAGCCTAGCAGAGTGCTGAGTCACGGTGGGACAGCAACTCTCCACTGCAACCCCCACCGCCGCCCCCTCCTGCTCCAGGATGTGCTGAACCTCCAGAAACCACCGGCTTGGCTCTTCTCTCATCCGAGGTCCCTCCCGCTACTCCTGGCCCTGGGAGGCGGCTGTCCTGGGAGACCAGCCAAACTCTCTGGCGCCTCCAAGTCACGAGGCGCAGGGTTGAACGAGGGTGGGGGAGGTAGAACCCTGGTCAACAAAGGTCCAAAGACCAGGCCACAGCTTCGGAAGAATCGAAAGGCTTGGAGATTGCAGTTCTGACACCTCAAGTTACCAGAAAGTAGGGGAAACAAGCAATCATATAAACACACACACACACACACACACTCCCCCACCAATAGATGCCCCTTCCATTGTTCCCAGCCAGCCTCCTCCCAGTGACCTTCTACAGTACAAGCTGTCCCTCAGTCTTGCTGCGATGTTCACTGCAGCTACATGTGTGTTTAGCCAAGCATGGAGCCAACACTGATCCAGGAAACCTACTCCCTGCAGTAGACCGACTGCCCTCCAGTGGGTCCAAAACTTCACGCTGGCTTTGTCCCTCTGAACAGCCCAGAAGCCTGGAAACTCAGCACATCTAGTTCAAAACCAAGCTGGCCTTCCCCCAAACCTGCATTTCCTCCTGCACTCCTTGGCTAAGGGAATGGCAGCAGCAGCCAGGACTACCAAATCAGAAAGCTGGGAGATCTCTTACCGACTGCCCACCCCTGGCCCCCCACTTTCGCCAATCAGTCTGTTCATTTGATCTTCTCCAGATCTGTCAAATCTGTGTTCTATCGCCTCTGCTCACTAAGAACTAAGGCTGCTGCCTCCCGACTGGTGCCCAGCCCTCTAGCCTCACTCTCAGCCATCCTCCACATTCAGTCATGAATCCATCTGTTCATGGAACAGATACTGGGCACCAAGTAACAAGCACCTTGCAAAAAGCTGGGAGTGCAGAGACAAGACAGAAACAATGCCTGCCTTCCAGGAGCTTACCATCTACAGCACCAGCGCAGGGAATCAAAAGGGTCTCATAACGCCAGGTGGGGTGGGTCATGCCTGTTATCCCAGCAATTTGGGAGGTCGAGGCAGGCGGATCACTTGAGGTCAGGAGTTCAAGACCAGCCTGGCCAACATGGTGAAACCCTGTCGCTATTAAAAACACAAAAATCAGCCAGGCGTGGTGGCAGGTGCCTGTAGTCCCAGCTACTTGGGAGGCTGTGACAAAAGGATCGCTTGAACCTGGGACGTGGAGGGTGCAGTGAGCTGAGATCAAGCCACTGCACTCCAGCCTGGGCGACAAGAGTGAAACTCCGTTTCAAAAAAAAAAAAAAGTGTGATACATATATAGCATTTCATTAAACATACAAACATATATTACAGTTCCTAATCTTCATCACTTACATGAGTTACAAATATCAACCGAATTTGTCATCTCTGTTTTACCCTTGTTGACAACATCTTTTGTCTTACAGCTTTTCATTTTTAAGTAGGCAAATCTGCCAACTGTACTTTTATGGCTTCTGACAGCCTCAGAAGAACATTCCCTACCCCAAAATCATAAAAAAAAAATCTTCTATACATTCTCCTCAAAACTTTATACTTTTTTTAAGACTTGGATTTTTAATCTATCTGGAATGTATTTTTAAATACTGAGTGAGTCATTTTTCTCCACATGACTGTCAATTGTTTCAACATAATTTGTTAAACCCATTCTTTCTTCCCTAATTTGACACAACAGTTTAGCATATCCCAACTTCTCATACATAGGTGGGCAGGACTATTTTGTCACATTAATCTAGTCATCTCTTCCTGTGCCAGTACCATACTGCTTATAGCACTTTACTGTACTTTTATTATAGCACTAAATGCAAATCTATCAACACACTGACTCCTCCAAATGAACTTTAGAGCCATTTTGTGAAGTTTCAAAAAAAAAAAAAAATACTGTCCCAGAGACAGTAATGGCTGAGGAAAAACAAAAAAAACTGCCTTTTATGGAAATTGCAGTGAATTTACGTTTATTTGGGAAAAACTGACATCTTTACAAAATGAAGACTGACCAACCATTTGGGAATATGGTACCTCTTCATTTATGCTAGGCTTTTTGGATTTTTTTGGTCCAGCAGTAAGCATTTATAGTTTTCTCTATATATTTCTTGTTGACTTTATTCCAAGGTACTTTAAGCTGTTGTTGTCAATGTAACCGAAAAACACTGTTTTTTTCCATTTTTTCCCCCTATTTTCTAACTGGTGGTTACTGCTATCAAGGAAAGCTTTGGATCCTATATATGGTGACTTTGCTATACTCTTATTCTAAGAGATTTCCAGTGTAAGGTTTCTAAAAACAAAGCTAATGCGGTGTCTCTATGTTGTCTCCAGGATCAAGTTTAACCTCTTTTCATGGAACACAACCCTGCCCAACCTTGCCCCTATTCTCCACCCTATCCAGTATCCCCCAACATGCACTGTACTTTCCAGGCCAACATTCTTTCTTTCTTTCTTTTTGACACGGAGTTTTGCTTTGTCTTCCTGGAGTGCAAAGGCTGGAGTGCAATGGCGCGATCTCGGCTCACTGCAACCCCCGCCTCCCAGGTTCAAGCGATTCTCCCGCCTCACCCTCCAGAGTAGCTAGGATTACAGGTGCATGCCACCACACCCGGCTAATTTTTGTATTTTTAGTAGAGAGGGTTTTCGCCATGTTAGTTAGCCAGGCCTATCTCCAACTCCTGACCTCAAGTGATCCGCCCGCCTTGGCCTCCCAAAGTGTTGGGATTACAGGCGTGAGCCACAGTGCCCAGACCCAGGCAACATACTTTCTTAAGGCAGCTTGAACAGGTCATGCATTTCCACATTGCCACACCTTTGCATATGCTCTTCACTCTGCTCTAAATTCCCTTCCCTGTTTCCCTCCTGCACTTCACCTTGCTTTTAACTTTTTCTGCAAACTTAGCTCAGGGGTCTTGCTCAGGGAAGGCTTCCCCGACCTCCTCCTATCCCAGACTGGGTAAGGTACTCCTGGTCTAGGAACATCCTTCTGTTTACCTTATTCTTGTAGCTCTAGCACCACGAAAATTTTTTTCCTGTAAGTAACATAGGTGCATTTTTTAATGAAACCGTGAAAAAGAAATCACCCTAATTCTGTCGGCAATTTGTTTTTAATATTTCAGTAGAGTTGTTTTTTTAAAATAAGGTTTGGAAGTCTAGCTTCCAGCTGCAGGTTTGTGAGCATCCTGAAATTAATAGTTCTTCCACCGATGCGTCAAAAGATGCAACACAACAGTGGACCTCGAAGCCAGGACCTACGTAGGGGCAGGGCCTAGCTCCAGCTCTGCCACCCATAAATTCACATCCACCCTGTGCCTGGGACTCAACTGCAAGCCACACACACCGGCCCCGCCCATCCGGGGTCTCTTTCACCTGTCACCCGCCATCAACCCCGTCAGCTTTTCTCCAATGACACCCTGGGGTTGTTCTACAGGGCCGCCGAAGCCTGAAGCTCCTGTGAGTGTGACTGGTAAGAGGCCATTTTGAAAAGGCCTCAGCATGGGCTTCGCCTTTAGATCCACGTTGCTTCTCCTTTCTAACCTGAGATGTGTCCCGTGGGTGCGAAGCGACTCCAGCGATTCTCTCGGAAGCCCCGGTGGCTCACTCCCAAGACCCCCGGGGGAGGCGGTCCCCATCCCTAGGGAAACCCGGCCCGCCCAGCCTTTGTTGTAGAAACTGCACTCGGAGCCATATTTGCTTTCAGCCAAAGGCAGACGTGGTCGCCGGAATCAGAAGGGCAGGGGCGGACCCGAAACCCGCCGTGAGCCCACTTCTCCATCGCGCTCCTTCCTGGACTCTTGAGGAAGAGAAAGTGCGCTCGACCACCTAAGGCCCGCGTCTCCACCTTCCACCTTCTCAATCTACAGCAAGATGTCACAAGGGCTTCCCCGCAGCTATGATTTTTAACACCATGCCCCGGGCCAGGAGCCTCAGGGTGCTCGTTCGGGAAAATGGGAGCCAAATCAGGATCACCCCATGCGCCCCCCCACCCCGCCCCCGCCGGTTTCAAGGCCCGGGCACACCTAGAGCGAGGGGCTCTGAGGTGGACTTCCTGCGCCTCCTCGCAGCTTCCCTCCAACTCCACTAAACGGGCCCCAGGGGCACAGAGACGACACCACTGTCCCCGAGGCAGTCCGGTACCGGTCCCCGCTCCCGAGCTCCGCCAGGGCGCGCGAGGGCCTCCAGCGGCCGCCCCTCCCCCACCGCAGGGGCGGGGCCCCGCGCCCACCGGAAGGAGCGGGCGCGGGGCGGGCGGTGCTGATTGGCCGGGGCGGGCCTGACGCCGCCGCCGCTATAAGAGACCGCAAGCTACCCGCTGCGCCAAACGTTCTTCGCCGAGAGTCGTCGGGGTTTCCTGCTTCAACAGTGCTTGGACGGAACCCGGCGCTCGTCCCCCATCCCGGCCGGCCGCCCATAGCCAGCCTTCCGTCTCCTCTTCACCGCGTCCTCGGACCGCCCCAAGGCCCCCGCCGCCGCTCCAGCGCCGCGCAGCCACCGCCGCCGCCGCCTGTCCTTAGCCTCCGCCATGACGACCGCGTCCACCTCGCAGGTGCGCCAGAACTACCACCAGGACTCAGAAGCCGCCATCAACCGCCAGATCAACCTGGAGCTCTACGCTTCCTACGTTTACCTGTCCATGGTGAGCGCGGGCGGCTCGTGGCGGTGGCGGGGGTCGGGCGCGGTTCCCGGGGCGCGCGCTGGGGCGGGCCGGGGGTGTGGCCACCCGCGGGATCCCCCGCCTCCCTGCGCCCTTCTGGAAAATGGAGGCTGCTCGAGGTTTCCGAGGACTTCTCTGGCGCAGAAAGTCGGGGCAGCTGATTCTTCTCGGCTGTACGCTGGGAAGGCTCCCTCCTAGGCCGGGGCCGCCTCTGCACACCGTTCTTTTTTTTAAGGAGAGTTGGGTGTCCTGAAATCCTGGGTTTGCAAAACTGTCAGCCCGTGCGATCAATCCTGCGGTTAGGAAGGTGGAGTTTTGCACTCCCATCTTTCCCTCTGCCTCCGGCAGTTGGCTCTGAAGCCCAGCGTTTTTTGCTTAGGTATCCAGCTCCAGTCCCCAAGGTATGGCGGGCCTGCTGGGTAACGGTGTCGAACAGCAAACCTTAGGGGCTGGCGCGAAGTGGCTTATCTTGTGGGCAGATCCCTCTGGAGCAGCCCTATCCACTTCTCGGCTCTGCTTATCTCTAAGTCCCACTTGCATTGAAGCATATCTCTAGAAATCGCCCCTTCTGCAGTCACCGAAGTGTCACCTGACCTTGCGTCTAGGGAACTTAATTTTTATCTTTTATGTATCTTACAGTAAGAGATGTGGCCTACTAAGTGAACCTCCAGTTCTTGGATAAAGTCCACCGACAGTTACTGGGCAATACATTTTTCAGTGATCAGTGGAATCAGTTTTCCCAAATCTTGGTCTTAGGCAGTGCCGTGGGAGTCTTCCTAGAATTGCCTTGTGATTGTTCAAACTATCCCAAGAATGTGTTCCAAATGGATTTGAAAACAGGCCTGTATTTCTGTGACTGTCATTGCCTTTCAGAAGCACTTGACTACATCAGATGTCTAAAACTGAAAATCAAATTTCTGTGATATAAGTATTTTAGAAGTATATTTGCATCAACATACTGCCCACATTTATCACCTTGCATGGGCGTTTTAAATTTTTATTTATTTTTTTTGAGACAGAGTCTTGCTCTGTCGCCCAGACTGGAGTGCAGTGGCACGATCTCGGCTCAATGCAGCCTCCGCCTCCCGGGTTCAAGCGATTCTCTTACCTCAGCCTCCTGAGTAACTGGAATTACAGGCGCCCGCCACCACGCCCGGCTAATTTTTTGTATTTTTAGTAGAGACTGGGTTTCACCATGTTGGCCAGGATGGTCTCCTGACCTCATGATCCAACCGTCTCGGCCTCCCAAAGTACTGGGATTACAGGCGTGAGCCACTGTGCCCAGTAGGGGTTTTTAATTTTATAAATAAATCGCGGTACAGCTGGCAGGCTCCTGAGCTCTTTGTTTTAACCATACTTTAAGATGGTTAATCCAGGAACAGGGAGGAGAAAAGGACTTAAGTGCGGGATCAGTACCCCAGCACCCTCTCATCAGACAATGAAAGTTTTCTGTGCACTAATACAGATCCTTAAGACATTGCCCCAGGCAATGCCCATAATCTAAAGGTTCCTTGAAGTCCTTGAAGTAAACTTTGAAGGATCAAGTTTCAGTTTTCTATTAGAATAGAAAGATTACTGTTGGGTTCAATCCAGTAGCTCATCTGCCCCCAGTTTCCTTGGGCACTGACCCCTTCATGCTGCGCCTTGAGAAGGGAAGCCTAGGTTGACTATCTAGACCATCTTGCCTCAGTGTAGACCATCACAGCTACCTGTCTTTGGGGATCCCTAATATAACACATTCAGTGTTCTCCTTTCAGTCTTACTACTTTGACCGCGATGATGTGGCTTTGAAGAACTTTGCCAAATACTTTCTTCACCAATCTCATGAGGAAAGGGAACATGCCGAGAAACTGATGAAGCTGCAGAACCAACGAGGTGGCCGAATCTTCCTTCAGGATATTAAGGTGAACAAAAGATCCTAGAGGTGTCATACTTCATATCTAGCAGTGTTTGGGTATCAGAAATCACTTAAACTAGCAGTTGCCCTTATAAAGTGATGATACACTGGGCTTTTGCCTTTTGTGGTTTTTTTAGGCTTACCATCTAAACTAAATTAGGCAAATAGTAATGTCCCTTTTGCCAAAGCGTGGTGGTTAGAGATGACGGGCTTGCTGATTTGTAGGTTAGTTGGTAGAGATGCATTAACCTATCCTCCTCGTTCAGAAACCAGACTATGACGACTGGGAGAGCGGGCTGAATGCGATGGAGTGTGCTTTACATTTGGAAAAAAATGTGAATCAGTCACTACTGGAACTGCACAAACTGGCCACTGACAAAAATGACCCCCATGTGAGTACTGGAAACCCAGGAAATAGAGGAAATCATTTGCCTTAGGGATTGGGAAAGCTGCCCACTAACTGTCTTCCCCATTGTTTTGTAGTTGTGTGACTTCATTGAGACACATTACCTGAATGAGCAGGTGAAAGCCATCAAAGAATTGGGTGACCACGTGACCAACTTGCGCAAGATGGGAGCACCCGAATCTGGCTTGGCAGAGTATCTCTTTGACAAGCACACCCTGGGAGACAGTGATAATGAAAGCTAAGCCTCAGGCTAATTTCCCTATAGCCATGGGGTGACTTCCCTGGTCACCAAGGCAGTGCATGCATGTTGGGGTTTCCTTTACCTTTTCTATAAGTTGTACCAAAACATCCACTTAAGTTCTTTGATTTGTACCATTCCTTCAAATAAAGAAATTTGGTACCCAGGTGTTGTCTTTGAGGTCTTGGGATGAATCAGAAATCTATCCAGTCTATCTTCCAGATTCCTTAAGTGCTGCTGCTCAGTTCTAATCACACTAATCAAAAAGAAACAGAGTATTTGTATTTATTAAACGCCTTAGTTTGGGCAGTACACTAAGATATGGCTGTCTTGGATTCAGACAGGATTAAGGGTTCCTGACTCTCAATCCAGTGTCTGAGCTAAATGTTTCCGATGGTTCAGTCTAGGTTTCACAATTTTTATGAATGAAAAGCATTAAAGGCTGAAGTAGTCCTGGACTACTGATTTTATCTATTAAACTAACCATTTGATTCAGGCTGTCATAGGACATGTTCTTCAGTGTGGACAGCTGTATGGCTGTGACTGGATCGGTGTCCTGCTGGTGTACACACCGGAGAGGACCTGGCTGGCGAAGCATCCCCGTTGGGAAGCACGTTAGGAATGTGCTTCATCCCTAGTGAGAATGGGAGAGAATTAACAGTGTGAATATGGAAGGAACCTTCATTTCAAATACTAAAATGTTGCAGTAGGAGGGCAAAGGTTGAGAGGATCCTTTTTTTTTTTTTTTTTTTTTTTTTTTGAGACAGCGTCTCACTCCATCGCCCAGGCTGGAGTGCAGTGGCTTAGTCTCACTGCAACCTCTGCCTCCTGGGTTCAAGCAATTCTCCCCTCAACCTCCTGAGTTGGGACCACAGGCACATGCCACAACACCCAGCTGATTTCTGTATTATTTTGGTAGGGTTTCGTGTTGGCTAGGTTGGTCTCAAACTCCTGACCTCACATGATCGGCCTGCCTCCACACCCAGCCCAAGACAAGATTCTGAAATAACATCCTTTGCTCAACAAGCCACAGATGTTTGCCAAGTTCCTGTCTAGCCCTAGAAGCAAGACTGAAACTGTTGCCCTTTTAAGTTTTCAATTATAATAGCTGGGTGTTCTGACTGAAAGTAACTGCTTGAGAATCCAGAAAAGGGAAGTTATACACTTCCTCCCCTCATGATTGGGGCTGAAGTGGGGTGTTTCCAATTGGGTGAAAGTGCCCAGGAAATCTGGAATAAAGGGAAACATCTGATTTTGTGACAGCTTTGGGCTGACCTCAAGGAAGCATGAAGTATTTTGGTGAGGTGCCCCAGGCAGTGAGAAAATGACCTAAGGGCCCTGGACACCCTCAATGTCACCATCACCATAGTGTTTGGGTACTACCCTAAATGGTTATGGGGAAGTGTTCATCTGTCATCCAGCTGACTGCCACCCCATGGTTTTGGGTCAGCCACCCTTGCTCAAAGTAAGTTGGGGCCAGTGATAACATCTGTTCAGCTAAGCCTGGCCTGTCAGCCCTGGGACAGTTCTCTAGCAGCACTCTGGTCAGCACAACCTCAGCTTCCTTCACCTGCTCCCAAGAAGTCTTCCTGGTGATACCAGGCTCTTGGGTGAAGTGAGAAAAGGTCCCGAACACTTCCCTAGGATCCCTGTGGAGGCGGCCAAGTATATACCCCAAGCCAGTGCTGGGCGTAGGTCCAGCGTGCTCTGGCAGTGATGGAACTCTAGGAAATTGTGGAGGAAGGGTAGGTTCAGAGCAAGGGAAGCTGGGGTGGGGCACAGGGCAATACAGCGCCCCTGGTTCGGGTGGAGGACAGACCTGTTTTCCAAGGCCCAATAAGGATCCACGTGATCTTTTAGTGTAGCGTGTATGTTGGTTGTTGATAGTTCCAAAGGTTCTTTGAGATGATTTTCGGGGATCTCTGGCATATCCGTCAGGTTAAACTCCACGGTTTTCCTCCTCACGTGAGATACTTCTGGGTGCTCCATCAAGGCCCCATCGCTCCCTGAGAGCAATTCAGAACTGTTCTTGGCGCCAGAACTCACAGTCTTTAGGCTTTTGTCTTTGGTGTCTATGCCTGTGACACTGTGAAGCTTTGACAGCACTGATGGTTCTGGGGGGAAGAACATGGGAGTGGGGCTGAGGGGCGTCTGTGGGGCACTGTAGTAGCCTGGCCTCTGATACAGTGGGGCAGACTTGAAGGTGTCTACAGCCTTAAGCTTCCAGGCCTTGTTGTCTTCCTGGCCCCTAACGTTCTGTTTGACTGCCTTGTGGTTTTTGGGCAGGCCCTCGTGGAGAAGGGATTCCCTCTTGGGCCACAGTAGTTTG